ACCCATCTTGAATGTCATGTCTTCTCAAAGCTTTCCCTAAGTCCAGACAGGATTAATATGACTCTTCTCTGGGTTTCCATACACTTCTGTTCCTGTCTCTGCTATATTGCATATTATATATTACAGCTAGTTGTTGGTCTAATAGACTCCTTGATAGACTCTGAGCTCCTGTTCATCCTTGCATTTCCAGTTTCTAGTATTAAGTCTGGCATAATAGATATTTGCTGAAGGGAATGTTGGATTTTTGATGATTTTGGATTTTTTTTATAAAAGTACTCTTCCTTGAATTTAAAGAGCATTTTCCTCATAGGTATCTTTCGATATAGAAGAACTTTAAAAACTGTAAATGGAATACAGACATCAGCACTATCATATTATCAAAGTTGATGACCTTGCAGTTTTCACGGACTCCACAGACACTTTCTGATTCTAGCTTCTGCTCTGAACCTTTCCCAGCTGTCCTGTTTGTTAAGAATACAAGCATCTGTCACGAGCTCTCCTCCTCAGATAATGAGGTTCATAAAACAAAGGGGAGAGACAGAAGAGGCAGGATGTGATCACACTCCTTTTTATCTGATGCCTGTGTTCTTTTGTTGGTAGCAGAGTTCTATTAGAAGGCCCCCACTTCTTTCAGGATCATCTATCCATTCACTCATTCAGCCAAGAAATGGTACTATTGAATGAGTAGGCCCAATGCTAGGGGAGAAAAAGAGTTTATAGTTTGGTAATAGAAAAAAAAAAGTCATGAGAAAGTACTGTGTTTTATAAAAGAGAAACTAAAATGTCTCATGAGATTTCCATTGAGGAAAATGAAGCTTAAGGAAGTGAACTAACTTGCTCAAGTTTCCACACCTTGTAACTGTTAGAGCTGAAATTTATTTCTCTTACATTTAATATCAGATGGACTAAATGGAAGAACTGAGATTCAAGCCTAGTTCAGGATGGTACAAAAGCTTGTGGTCTACTACACTACACCATGTTGTCTCCCATAGGTTACTGCTTTAGTTATGAGAGGGGCAAATGAACCTGTACTAGGTTATCGGCAATGAAAATAAAAAGAGTAAGGTGGTAAAGGCAAGAAATAAATGCAGGACCCACAATTAGCATGATGTGGCAACTACCTAAATGTGGAAAGAAAGGAAAAGAGTGGAATTAAAAATAGCTTAAGCTCTGAGCCTTGGTAATTACAAAAAAACAATGATACCATTAACAGGATCAAGGATCTCAGGAAAAGAGGCAGTTTTTATTCAGTGAGAGCTCTAATCCTTCAAAACTCTGCTCTCGTGTCATCTCCTCAATGTAAGTTTTTTTGACATCCTCAGGTACATTATACAGAATTTTTAAATATTTTTTTATTGATTTCAGAAGGGAAGGGAGAAGGAAGGAGAGAAACATCAATGATGAGAGAGAATTATTGACCCGCTGCTTCCTGCATGCCCCCTACTGGGGATCAAGCCCACAACCCGGGCATGTGCCCTTGACTGGAATTGAACCTGGGAACCTTCAGTTCACAGGTTGATGCTCTACCCACTGAACCAAATGGGCTAGGGCCATTATACAGTATTTTATATTTCAACAACAACAATAATAATAATGACGATGATAATGATAGCTAACAGTTTTTAAATGCAGGCTGAGTGCCAAGCATGTGCTAGGTTCCTTTTACTCTTCAAAATAACCATGTGAAATATTATTAACCCCATTTTATAGATGAGGAAACTGGGGCTTACAAGGTTTTAAGATTACAGATATTAAATGGTAGATCGAGAATTCAGCCTAGCCGGCATGGCTCAGTGGTTGAGCTTCGACCTATGAATCAGGAAGTCACAGTTCAATTCCCCTTTAGGGCACATGCCTGAGTTGCAGGCTCAATCCCCCGTGTGGGGTATGCAGGAGGCAGCCAATCAGTGATTCTCTCTCATCATTGATGTTTCTCTCTTCCTCTCTGAAATCAATAAAAAAATTTTTTTTTAAACAAAGAATTGAATTCAGAGACAGCACTCTTACCAAAGGCAGGACAACACAATACATGAGTCCAGGAAATGTCACCAAACTGGCTCAGTTTGAATCCTGCTCTGCCATTTACTAGCTGAGTGGCCTTGGGCAAATTATTGTGCTTCAGTTTCACCATCACCATTTGCCTCCCAGTATTGTTGTAAGGTTATTTAAATGCGTTCATATGCATAAAGCATTTACAAAAGGGCATATTACATCATAAATATGTCATTGCACTCACACCTCTGTTTTCTCTATCTACTTCTGTCTCTCTCAATTATTAGAACTTTATTTATTTCTGTGAGTTCCTCTAGGACAGGAAGTGTGTCTGTTTCATTTTCCTATCCCCAGCACCTAGCACCATGTCTGCCCCACAGGAGGTCCTCAGCAAGCATTTGTTGCCTGGATGGCATTATTCAAGCAGCCTGAAATTCCATCTCTGAGTCTTGGAGAAGAGAGGTGAGTGGAAAAATAGGTCTGAGTCCCACACACAGACATTTAAACCTGACAACAGGCAGGACTGCTAAGGAAGAGGTCTGGGAGGGAAAAGAAATAGGACACCGGAGAAAGACTGACAGCAGGAAATGAAAGGAGACAGAAAAAGAGCTCTGGAGGATTTACTTTCAAGGAAGCCATGAAAAAAAATGAGTTCAAGGGAATTGCGCTGAGTCCAGATGAAAGGCTGTCTTAAAGGTGAAGTATGAAAATTTGTGGTTAGCAAGCAGCTGACTCGGAGGTTTAAATGTGTGTGTGTTGTGTTTTTGTGTGTGTTTTTTTAAGACTCAGAGGAAGGAAATAACAGTCATTGCGTAATTTCTAAAGCTTGGCAGGCTTTCAAATGTGGGTCTCTACTGTATCAACCTTGCCCAGAAAGTTGGGAAAGCGAGGGAGCATTCAAGATCACAAATGAAAAGGGGGGTCGGGGCTCTCCAAGGTGCTACTTCTCAACTAAATCGTAATGCAGTTCAGTTCTATCTTCACTCACAATGTGAAATAGAAAAATCAAATGAAATGTGTATTTAGGCCCTTCGTTATTTTGTTTAGGCTGGTAAAGCAGGATTGATGATGTTACTGTCAGGTAGACACAATTATCAGCAGCAGGTTTTTATCTGAAATATCTCCTTCATTACACTTGAATCTCCATTGTGTTCTCCCACACACGGAGACCGAATAACCAGTTTTTCCTGATACAGTTTTGGTTATTACAAACGACTTGGGATCCCTGCTCCTCTTTAAAAGAAGGTCAAGAAAAAGGAATCGAGATCAATATTTGAGAAAGGCATTTTTATAAAAACAGGTAGGCAACACGCACGTTTTAAAAAACGAGTTATTCTTTTAAAAATTTTGAGGAATAAAAAGCCCTATGTGGTCAAATGGGCCCACAGGAATCCACCAAACAAGATACAAATATACTTTCACAAACAGTCTTAGAGTCCCCCCCACACACACACACTGTTAACTGGAGAAATATAGACCCAGTACAGTTGTCTGAGGAACTAAACCAAGTACCTTTTTATTTTGATTTCAGAGAGGAAGGGAGGAGGGAGAGAGAGAAACATCAATGATGAGAGAGAATCATCCATCGGCTGCCTCCTGCACGCCCCACACTGGGGATTGAGCCCACAACCCAGGCATGGCACCCTGACCGGGAATCAAACCGTGACCGCACCCTCTGAGAGGAGTTTCCCATAGTTAAGTGCCGAGCCCCTCCCTGTTCAAGGCTCTACTACAGGATCTAGCACAGTGAGCACCTTTCCCAAGTCGCTCGGCACCCTAGGGCTCAAATGTTCTTTTCTGTAAACTAAGGAGGACAGTGTGGTGTGTGTGTGTGCGTGCGTGTGCATGGTGCGTGTGGTGCATGTCTCTGTGTGTCTGAGTAGTGTGTGTGCGTGTGGTATGTACTAGTATGTCTGTGTGTCTGTATGTGTGGTGGGTATTTTTGTGTGTGTCTGTCTCTATGTCTGTGTGGTGTGTGTGGTGTGTGTCTCTGTGTGTGTGTCTGTGTGTGGTGGGTATGATTGTGTGTGTGTCTGGGTGGTGTGTGTGTGTGGTGTGTATGTATGAGTGGTGTGTGTCTGCGGTGTGTGGTATATTCTGTTTCTGTGTGTCTGTATGTGTCTCTGTGTGTGTATGACTGTGTGTGGTGGGTATGATTATGTGTGTGTCTGTGTGTGTGGCGGGTATGATTGTGTCTGTGGTGTCTGTGTGTGTCTCCGTGTCTGTGTGTGTGTGGTGGGTATGATTGTGTCGGTGTGTCTGTGGTGTCTGTGTGTGTCTCCGTGTCTGTGTGTGTGTGGTGGGTATGATTGTGTCTGTGTGTCTGTGGTGTCTGTGTGTGTATGACTCTGTGTGTGTGTGTGTGTGTGTGATGGGTATGATTATGTGTGTGTCTGTGTGTGTGGTGGGTATGATTGTGTCTGTGTGTCTGTGGTGTCTGTGTGTGTCTATGTGTGTCTCAGTGTCTGTGTTTCCATGTATGTGTCTGTGTGTGTGTATGACTGTGTGTGTGTGTGTGTGTGTGTGTGATGGGTATGATTATGTGTGTGTCTGTGTGTGTGGTGGGTATGATTGTGTCTGTGGTGTGTGTGTGTGTGTCTATGTGTGTCTCAGTGTCTGTGTTTCCATGTGTGTATGACTGTGTGTGTGTGTGTGATGGGTATGATTGTGTGTGTGTCTGTGTGTGTGGTGGGTATGATTGTGTCTGTGGTGTGTGTGTCTATGTGTGTCTCAGTGTCTGTGTTTCCATGTGTGTGTGTCTATGACTGTGTGTGTGTGTGGTGGGTATGATTGTGTGTGTGTGTCTGTGGTGTGTATGTGTGTGTGGTGTGTGTGTGTGTGTGTGTGTGTGTGTGTATGAAAGTACTGGAAGCGCTCGCAAGCTCCCCTCCAGCTCTCAGGTCATTTCATGTTTCTCCCTTCCTTCCTGCTACTTCCCTCGAGAGGAACTTGTGGGTGAATCCTCGGGTTAATACAGACAAACAGAGACGGCAGGCGGCCTCGCTCACCGTCAGCGCCGGAGACCAGGGGTCTGAAGGCTCGGCACCTGCCCGCCAGCCCCGCCCACGACCGTCCTTCCGCCAGGCGCTGTGGAGAACAAGATGGCGCCAGCGCCCCGGCTCTCGCGGGGCCCGCGACTGCGCACTGCGGCGCCGCCCGAGCCGCACCCCATTGGCCGGCTGCAATGAGGTCATCTTAGGGCGGAGGCCGCGGCGGCGCGGGGGCGTGGCTCTGCGGACGCAGGCACGTCCGAGCCGCGGCACCCGGAGCCGGGGAGGCTGCGGGCTGGGTCTGCGGCGACGCCTTTGGTAGTGGCCCCGCCGGCGGCTGGAGGTGAGCGGGGATGGCGCGGCAGGGAGCGGCCTCCAAGGGGCACCGGGAACCCTAACATCCGCTTCACTTGTCCAAGGAAGTAGCAGGGATCCGAGGTCTCTGAAAGGAAATGGGGTTCACCTCTCTTCGGGCGCCCCTTCTGTGGGCAGAAGAACCGGAGGTTCACTCCCCTTTGGAGGCCCTGATCCCTGCCGCCACTTAAGGGGTCGGCGGAGGAACTGAAGGTTATTGGAATGGCCGAAAAATTGGGGGGAGACTTCTTAAATGGGGTCCCAATGGGAGAATTTCTCCCTTCTAGTCCCTCCTCCGGGAGGTAGGTGTGCCGATGCTCGCTGGGTGGACAGGAACGAAGCAGGTGAATCCAAATACCTCGTTAGGAGGCGAGGACCGGGTGACAGCGGCAGTGCGCGGGGACGCCTTGTTTGGATTAACCTTGTGCAGCAGAATTCCTATTTCTTTATAATTTGTTTTGTGACACACACCACGACAACCACCGCCACCACCACCACTACTCCCCCGCATCCCCTAATCGCTTTGGCCAGCTTGGTTTTCTGTTTGGTTCGTCGGAGAGATGCATTTAGGGAGATTTGTAATCGTTAAAAAACAGTGGGGAGGCAACTCATTGGAGGCTGTCATGATTGGCAGCCCCTGAACTATGCTGATCAGGCATAATATTATGTGTTTAGAGATTGTGGACTCTGTCCCATAATTAGGAGCGAGGTGTGTTGGGGGGCGGGGTGGTGGTGGTATAAAGTCAAGCTACATCATCTCTTGAAAAATCCTTGCTTGTATCCGAGTGTGTTGTTCTGCTGCTTTGAACATCAAAGGCACAAAGGCTTGTCATTCAAATTTTTCAAGATGTCTCCCAGCCTTCCCCGAGAGCAACTCTTCCTTCCATGCCAGTTTCACCTATCATTATGGATGCGCTCATGATACTAAAAATACCTTATGTTTTTTCGAGCTTAGATACTGCACCATCTGTGCCTCACAATAGCTGATTGAGAATAAATAATTGCAGTTTCAGGACCACTGATAGCGCCACTGGTCGTTATTACCAGGCAGTGATAAGACAACCCTAAAATCAAACCTTTATGGAGGCGCGCAGGAGAAGCTTTAACAGATGGAACAATGTAGTTCATCTTGAAGGTGGGGATAAGAAACAGAAGGCTTCCGAGGTGGAAAGCTTATTCTCTGTGGCTTGATAAAACTGCTTTGTCATTATCAATGCATTCCTGCCATGCTTGACTTGATATTGAGCTTAATAAGCAAGCTGGTCCCTTTTTTTTTTTAAGATAATGATTATGTAGTTAGATTCTGTAGTGAGAAGATGGTGCTTTCTGAGGAATTTGGAAGGTTAAACCCTTTAAGGTAGTCATAACTTGAGGGTAAGGCTGGCAGTTTGGCTCTTAGAAATGGGCAGTAGCCCTAGCCAGGTGGCTCAGTTGGTTGAAACACCATCTGTACACCAAATGGTGGTTTGATTCCTGATCAGAACACTTACATAGGTTTAGGGTTTAATCCCCCGTCAGGGTAAGTGGGTCTGGGAGGCAACTGATCAATGTTTTTCTCTCCCTCTCCCTTCCTCTCTCTAAAATCAATGAAAAACATATTCCCCGGGGGAGAATAAAAAAAAGAAGAAGAAGAAATGGGCAGTACAGTTTAGAAAATGGTGAGGTCTCTTCTGTTTCCTGACACAAGTGGAAACCAAGATAGAGCAGTGTGGATGTCACTGCCTCAGAATGTTGTGCCCAGGGTATTAAAAAGCTGTCTGGGTTCCCCAGTTCCTATTTTTAATATGGACACATTCTTATGTATTGAGATGTCCCAAAATATTGTCATCCGATCCTGATGTTGACTGCAAAGGAAGAGACTTTTCATCAGGCACTCTGTGGGAGAGGATTCAGTGGCAGCCTTTGCAATTTCTCCTTTCCATCTTTCTAAGGAGGATGTCAAAACAGTTGTTAAAGACCTGTCAGCACAAGGTGAAAGACATGGAATGCAAAACGGAAGAGCCTTACTGAGTGCTGTTTGTTCTTAGCCCTCTTAGTAATTTCCAAGGTCATGCAGTTTTCCCTTTTTGCCTTAGGTTGGAGAGAAATCCCGGTACTCAGTGGATGTCCTTTCTGCCGCCATGGGGGAGCTTTTCCGGAGTGAGGAGATGACGCTGGCCCAGCTTTTCCTACAGTCAGAAGCTGCTTATTGTTGTGTCAGCGAATTAGGAGAACTCGGAAAGGTTCAGTTTCGTGATGTAAGTAATTGTGGGGCTGCTTCTTGATTACCACTGAACTGTCATTTTCTGGTCATGGCCAATTGCTTTATGATGAATGTTTTGCTTTTTATTTGCAAAAATAACATGACAGCACGCTTACTGTTGACACTTTTTTGAGTTGTCTTTCTAGAGGTGAGATTGTCGTGGGCCAATCCTTTCATGTTTTTATTGGTTCCCCTTTGAGAATAATCCTAAGCATTCTCAAGGTAATTGCTTGGGATGCAAATGGAGGACAGCAAATTAACATGTTCAGGACTTCCACTTTACTTTTGGGCTTCTTAACACCCATAGCAGGATCTTAAAAATATTTTCATAGCTTTTCCATACAGCAGGTCATATGTATTATAAGATCTGAAGCATGCAGTTAGGGATATATAGTATATAAGTAAACATATACTGAATACCTATTAAGCTGAAGCATTATGCTGGGAAGTTGGAGAAGATATCAAAAGAAAATGGACAATCCTAGCCAGTTTGGCTCAGTGGATAAAGCGTCAGCCTGTGGACTGAAGGGTCCCGGGTTAGATTTGGGTAGGACACATGCCTGGGTTGTGGGCTTGATCCCCAGTGGGGGGCGTGCAGGAGGCAGCCGATCAATGATTCGCTCTCATCATTGGTGTTTCTATCTCTCTCTCTCCCTCTCCCTTCTTCTCTGATATCAATAAAAATATATTTTTAAAAAAGAAAAGAAAATGGATAGCCCTGGCCAGTGTGGCTCAGTTGGTTGGAGCATCGTCCCATGCTTCAGAAAGTCCCAAGTTCAATTCCCAGTCAGGACACATACCTAGATTGCAAGGTTGTTCTCCAGAGGGGCCTCATATAGGAGACAACCAATCGATGTGTTTTTCTCACATCAATGTTTCTCTCTCTCTCTCTTCCATCTTCCCTCTCTAACAAAAGAAAAAAATCAATAAAAGCAAAATGGACAGTATAAGCGTATACTAGTAAAAAGTATGCCCTATGGTGCTTACAGTCTGATATTTGCCGCTGAAAGGAGGGGGGAGTAAACAATTCCCTATTAGGCAATCTCAAAGGTCCATGTACCTCTCATTGACAACATTCATTATAGTTGTGATTTTACATTCATCAGTGCAAGTAGTTGATTAAAGTCTTCATCTGCTACTCTGATCTAAGTACCATGAAGACAGAGACAGTGATTATCTTATCCTTAGTGCCCACATAGAAGATAATCAATATTTGTTGGAATGGATGGATAAAGAGGAGTAATCAGAAAGGTGTGGGATTATCAATACTGACTTCCTGGAATTGGCAAGCTTTCAGGAAGTTCTCAGTCTGAGCTGAAACTGCACAAATACAACCCAGTGATAGTCTTATTCCTTATTTTCTTTGAACCTTTGTATACCATCTCTTTTGGAGTGTTCTTTTACCTTTCTGAGGCTCTTCCACCGGCCTCTCTTTTATCTTCTCCACCTCTGCCCTCAGTGTCAGTGTTTCCCAAGCTCTCTGCTCTCTGGATAAGCCTGTCCACAACGACATCTTCCTTTACCACCGTTTTTTCGGTGATCTCATCCATTCTCAAAATTTTCATCTTTATTCAGTGAGTCCCAAATCTATATCTCTGGCCTTGACTTCCCAAATACCTTCCCTGAATATACAAATTTCTAAGCTTGTTGTCATCTCTGCTAATACGTCTCAAGCTAATACGTGTAAATCCCAACACCTTTCCTTTTTCTTCATCCTCACTTCCTAAACTTGAGCTAATGCATTGATATTCTTCCAGTTTTTTAGTCTTAAAACCTAAATCAAACCTAACTCACCCTTAATTTGCAATTCTTCATCTGGTCCTATATAGTATCTCCCTTTCTAATACCCATTTGGGTTCATTCAGCATTCTTAACTTTTACTTATGTATTTCAGTCATACAAAAAATTATGGGGAATAATATAATGAATACCTATGTAATTTATATTGTCTACTTCAGGGGTAAGCATTCCACATATAATTGAAGGTTCCTGCCTCTCCTTCCTCCCTGAGTTTCATTTCTCTCCCCTCCTCCCTAGAGGTTACTTTGTATAGTGACTTTTGCCCTTACCTGTGTTTTTTTCTTTATTTTTATTATTGTTGACAGTATTATTCCCATATGTTTTTATTTTTTACTTTTGCTATGTTTGTATGAATCACCAAGTAATATATAGTATAATTTTGTATGGTATCATATTGTATGTATCTTTCAGCAGGTATTTTTTAAATTTAACATTTGTGAGATTTGACCATGTTGGTACAGGAGGCCCTAGTTCATTTATTTAAATTGCTATATAGTTATTGTAAAAATATATAATTTATCATTTTTTCCTTCTAATGATTGCAGTTCTTTGCTATTACAAGTTGCAATGAAGAGTCTTGCCTGTGTCTCCTGGCATGCATCTTTTATAGTTTCTCCAGGGGAGTGGTTCTCAAACATTTTGGTCTAAAGACCTCTTTACACTCTTAAATTAAATAAAATTGAGAACCCTAGCGGGCTTTTATGTGAGTTACAACTATTTATACTTATTAAATTGGAAATTAAAGCTGAGAAATGTTTTAAA